AAAATATGTCTTAAAGAAATTATTGCTTATTGATCGATTAATTATCTGAATGATTCATTATCAACTGTAAGCCTATTAACAGCTGCTCGACGTATGAGAAACTTAACTGGCACCTAACTCTGATTTATGTTTTCAATTTTTAATTATCTCAAAGCTAAAAGACAAATAAAAAGTTTCATATTTGTCATTTTCGGAACCTGATTATAACGTAATGAAGCATGTTCAGAACAATATCAATACAAAAGTTACGAGTTCTATCTGGATACCTTGGCTTTGCGTTCTAACGAGTCTTTTATGAGTTTCCATTCTCGAGATCATCGCGTCAAAAAATGAAAAGTTTGATGCGTACGTCGAGCTAAAAAGTAAGAAACTAGATGGTATTCGAGCTTCGCTTCGAATACGAAATGCGGTGCGAAGCACACGCATCGAGAATTCGAGAAACGAATTTCGAATCGAAATGGAATTATCGAACAGCTGATACGACTGAGATCGGATATGAAAGGCATCCATTATGAAATCGATCACTTGAGAAACTCTACTAAAGCATATCGACAGACTTCTAGAAAGTGTTGTTTATTGATCGATTAATTATCTCAACGATTCATTTATCTACTGTCAGCTGTACTCACAGCTGTTCGACATATGAGAAAATTAAGTGGCGCCTAACGTTCTTTTATTTTTTCGATTTTAATTATCTCAAAACGAAAAGGCAAATATACAGTTTCATATTTGTCATTTTCGGAAGCTAATTATAACGAAATGAAGCATGTTGAGAACAATATCAATACAAAAGTTACGAGTTCTATCTGGATACTTTGGCTTTGCGTTTAAACGAGTGTTTTATGAGTTTCTATTCTCGAGATCATCGCGTCAAAAAATGACAAGTTTGATGCGTACGTCGAGCTAAAAAGTAAGAAAAAACTAGATGGTATTCGAGTTTCGACTCGAATACGAAATGCGGTGCGAAGCACGAATCTTCGAAAAAACGAATTTCGAATCGAAATTCAATAATCGCTCTAAATATCATCGGAATTCGTTCTCACATTCTACGTCAAAGTTTAAAGATAATTTGAAGATGTTTCTGAATTAGGGATAAGCGATTAAAAAGAAATTTTTATCGAACAGCTGATCTAACCTAGATATGAGATTAAAGGTATCCATTATGAAATTCATCGCTAGAGAAACTCTACTAAAACGTATCGACAGACTTGTAGAAACTTTTGTTTATTGAAGAATTAATTATCTCAATGATTCATTATCTATAATCAGCTGTATCACAGCTGTCTTATATTGGAAGAGAAAAAAAAATGGCGCCTAACTTCTCTTTCACTTTTCATTTTAATTATCTCAATGCAAAATGTTGTCAAAATCGTGTTTTTGGAACGATTTTTTTGTGTGAACCGAATACATGATGAACCATTGGAAAAAAAATATCATGAGTTCGACCATGATACTATCAGTTCTCGTTTTAACGATTAATTTGTGATCTTTGGTTCTCGAGATCATCGCGCGAAAAAATGATGAGATATGATGCGTACGTCAAGTAAGGAAAAAAGAAAGAAAAAAAAAAAGTAAACTCGCGACGGACTACATAAATGCTGTGCTTCGCACCGCATTATATTTGTACCAACTCAAGTTTTTCGGGCAAGAATTTATGCCGAACGATACAGTCAATTTTTTGAACTTTTTTTATTCACAGATTAACAGTTACTGTTAACACAAAGTTCAGTATGAGTCTCTAAATTTGATGATTACAATCAGTTTTATAATGTAGAAGTATTAATTATTTTTGTGCCACTTTCTTTTTCGATCAGTAGTCTTCTATTCTTGTACAGCGGAGTATTGTCTACGTTTTTCATCTGATCATGATGTTCTAGAAACCTTCTAAAGCCTTGAAAAAGACAGAAGAAACAACGTGCCTTGTTCTTTATGCACTACTCGTTAGATATATCTTTGCTTTGCGTGGTTAAAAGCATTTTTTTTTATTCTTCTTCTCTGGCATTTTTCTGATCAAGATGCTACTTATATAAAGCACAGTCTGTTACTAATTTGAATAATAATATGCGCTTGACTGACACATATAGACATAGAATATTTTCAATCAAAAAGTTGTATGTTTCATGAAGAAAATAATAATTAAATATTTAGTTGATGAGGAATGATGCATAGACAGAATGACAAGAAGTATATTCATTCATTCGATAGTATTTGACATCATTTAAATACATTTTTTCTTTATTATTGGCTTCATATGTAACAACGGTAATGATGACTGTAGTGTTTTATATTCTTCTATCATATGTAAAATAAATAGACAAAAAAAGACAAAAGTCTTTTTAAAATTCCTGTAATTTAACAATCATTTATTTACGTAGTATCCCAAGTTTTGTTTCTATTCACATTTTATAACTCTTCGTTTCAAGTATGGATGAAAGTTACATCAGAATATTTTTCAAGTTTTTTTTGTTATCTATCAGTGTAAATATATCATGATAATAACCGCATGCAAAATGCGACAAATATATATTTTTATATAGACCTTCAATAGAGTAAAATAAAATTCGAAGAAAATTACTTTTTTTCATAACACTCATCAAACTATTATATTACTAGTTTGTTTTAAGAAAAAAAAAGGGAAAAAAAAAAGAAGTACAAAAAACTCATTATGAATAAGTGTTTGTTGGAATACTATGAAGCATATCAGTAATAAATAGAGTGTCTTTCTCATTTTTAAATAGCAACCGACAAAAGAAAAAATGACTGATTCAAATAGTAAGTCCTTTTCTTTTTTTTTAATATTAATGATCAAATTTCAAATTTAAATTTAGTGACTAATGCCAACGTTAATGGATGGTTAGTTTTATTCAATATACCTAACACACTATGTTGGCTTCGTATTGTACTTTTGTTTGTTAGTATTCGATATTTCGGGTATGAAAAGACTTTAAAAGAAAAACAAATTTTTGTTTCTTAAACCAATAAAAGAAAAAGAATATGTCATATGAAAAGAAAATAAAAAATATCTTTACATGCCTTGAAATCAGCCGAATTCAAGTAGAATGGAAAATTTAATCATCAAATATTTATTTTTAAGACTGTTCCATTGATATTGAAAAGAAATTTTTTTTTTCTCTTTTATTTAGTCAACGAAATTACTTATTATTTATTATTTATAATACCGTATCTGGTTTTCTTGATTCACTTGATGGTATATTAGCACGTCATTTAAATCAAAAATCAATAGTTGGTGGATATTTTGAATTCATATTAGATACATATTCACATTTTGTAATGTATGCATGTGTTGGATTACTTTATCCATCATATATAGTTTATTTTTATATTGAAATTGCACTTGAATTATGGAATATAATGTTCGATTGTCATATACATTCATTATCAAAATCAAATCTCTCATGGTTACATAAAACCACATTTTTATCAACAACATGTTCAGTATCAATTTATCATCATCCAAATCTTCGACTATTGAATTGGTATGGACCAGATATATTTCATACGGTATTAGTGCTACGTTATATTCTAATTAATGATAACAATAAAAAATTAATTCGATATATTCAACGTTATTTTACGCTAAATCAGATTTATTTATTTATTAAAATTATACTTTTTTTTACTGGATTTTTTTCGATATTACGTACAAGTGTTGCTTCTTGTTTTCTGTTTGACAAAGTACATAAAATGGCTGGAGCCAAATAAACGCTATTAATGGAAATATCACTTTTCTTTTTCTTGAGATATTTCCAAATTTTGTTTTGACCTTCTAAAATTTGCTTAATCATCTCGTTTATTTCTATCATATTCTATTATAATTTTTGGATATAGGAATGACAATTGTTTGGATTATATAAAAAAAATTCAAGACATAAGACTTTTTTGCAATATCATTGGAACAAAAACGATCATTGAACAAAATTTTGTCGATGCGGTTTTAGAAATAATAAAATATGTTCAGTATATTGCTTTATCATTATGAGTAATATTTCAAATAAATAAATTCGAAAAAAAAAATACTTTTTCTATTTCTTCATGCTGACGTGTTATTATATTTTTGGTGAAAAGAAACTAATGATAAGAACTCTTACATGGATTCAATTATTTAATCTTGTTTAGGAGAACAATTTTTTTTATATATACGTCCATCAATCTATTTCATTTAGGTCCATCATTATTTCAAATAACTTCTAAAAATGAACGACATATATCGACCCCTATATTCCAAAAAGTCAAATTTCGTTCGTTTGCTTATTAAATACCTTATCATAATGCCTATTTTCCCCTACTACTATAGATGCTGTCATTATTTAATGCTTTGTCACTGACAAATAGCAAATAAAAATAAAAATTTAGTTGAAGTACAATCTGTTTTATTTATATAAATACAACCTTGTATTTCATTTTAACTACTGATAAGAATACTGAAGACATATAAGATACAATAAAAAATGATGTCCTTTTGGCAATTTCTATTCATCTTTGTTTATCTATTTAATTCTGCTCAAGGTTTTGATCCACTTCGTCGTCTTCTAGCAAGCATTCCACGAACACCTATTCAACCAAATGATGATCCAGGTGAACCACTCTTCTTAACACCTTACATTGAAGCTGGTCAAATTGATCAAGCAAGAAATTTAAGTCGTGTCGATTTACAACCAGATTATTCATATTTATCTTATTCTGGCTATTTAACAGTAAATAAAACTCATCAAAGTAATTTATTTTTCNGTTTTGATCCACTTCGTCGTCTTCTAGCAAGCATTCCACGAACACCTATTCAACCAAATGATGATCCAGGTGAACCACTCTTCTTAACACCTTACATTGAAGCTGGTCAAATTGATCAAGCAAGAAATTTAAGTCGTGTCGATTTACAACCAGATTATTCATATTTATCTTATTCTGGCTATTTAACAGTAAATAAAACTCATCAAAGTAATTTATTTTTCTGGTTTTTTCCTGCAAAAAATGGTAATACAAATGCACCATTACTTGTATGGTTACAAGGAGGACCAGGTTCGTCATCTTTATTTGGTTTATTTGCTGAACAAGGTCCAATTATGGTTGATAAAGAAAAAAAACTTCATCCAAGTGATATAACATGGAATTCAAAATATCATCTACTTTATATTGATCAACCAGTTGGAACAGGTTATAGTTTTACTAAAAGTGAACAAGGTTATGTACGTAATGAAGATGAAGTAGCTCGTGATTTATATACAATGTTAACACAATTCTTTCAATTATATAATGAATATGTATTATGTCCATTTTATGTTACTGGTGAATCCTATGGTGGAAAATATGTACCAGCTATTGTTTATAAAATTCATATGGAAAATCCTCAAGCAAAAGTGAAAATAAATCTTAAAGGTATGGCTATTGGTGATGGTCTTATCGATCCATATAATGAATGGGATTATGGACCGGCGATGTATCAATTTGGATTAATTGATGAACAACAATTAGAACGTGTTAATTTACAAACATCGTTAGCACGAACAGCAATAGAACTAAAACAATATTTATTAGCTTATGCAATATTCAGTAATTTAATGGATTTGTTTTATACAGAAAAAACAGGTTTAAATGATGTTTATAATTATTTATTAACACAATATCCAGAAGCATTTAGTTATTATGTACCATGGGTAACAGCAAGTGAAAATCGTCGAAAAATACATGTTGGACATCAACGTTATAATGATGGTGCAGCAGTTGATATTGCTCTAGCCAATGACATTATGCAATCAATTGTAGGAAAAGTTGCTAAAATTGCTAATAATAATTATAAAATACTGATTTATAATGGTTTACTCGATGTTATAATAGCATCATCATTAACTATGGATTGGGTTGATAAACTTCAATGGAATTATGCTAATGAACTTCGAAGTGCTGAACGAAAAATTTGGAAAGTTAAAGATGATGATAAACAAGTAGCTGGTTATATAAAACAAGCACATTCATTTTATGTTGCTTGGGTTCGAAATGCTGGTCATATGGTACCAGCTGATCAACCAAGAGCTGCATTTGATCTTATTGATCGATTTGTATCAGCTTAACTTATATTAGTTTTATATATTTTCATTTTTATTCACTATTTTATTATTNGAAGTGCTGAACGAAAAATTTGGAAAGTTAAAGATGATGATAAACAAGTAGCTGGTTATATAAAACAAGCACATTCATTTTATGTTGCTTGGGTTCGAAATGCTGGTCATATGGTACCAGCTGATCAACCAAGAGCTGCATTTGATCTTATTGATCGATTTGTATCAGCTTAACTTATATTAGTTTTATATATTTTCATTTTTATTCACTATTTTATTATTTTTTATTGGACGACTCTTGCTTTAATTAGCGTCGTATACATACAGGCTCACTCACAGATAAAAGAAAGAGAAGAGAAAAGCAAAGTCCAACGATTGACAAGCAAACAACAATACAGAAAAACAAAATTCAATTAACAAGTATTTTGAGTTTGTATGAGGTGAAAAAGTAGTAATGAAACAAATCGTTGTCCGTTTTTTTATGTCACATGATGAAAATCATTGATGTCGGGCAAAAAGTTTTTATGGTCAATATAAAAAAGAAAAACAAAACAAACTAAATGTACATATTTTAATGATTTGTACAATTCGAGATATACACAGACATCTACTGAAATACAAATCGAAAAGAGATACATAGAAATAGAAATTAAACTGAGAGATACATAGAAGAATACCGACACATAAATACATAGGAGAATAAAAATCGAGATGACCATTTTTGTGCCCCCTGAGATTTCACCGTATATTGCTTTTGTTGTTTTAGATTGATTAATATAAGAATTTTATTACATATTATTTTCTTGTAAGAATAGATGACGTTGTTATTGAAGTTTTAGAATTATAATTTTTTGATATATCAGATATTGTTGGATCTAATTCGAATTCAACAAGTAATGAAAAATGATCTGATGGAACATTTGGATGTGGACAACCAACAATTTGATTTGATAGTAACCATTCAGGATCAAGTGGTCCCAATACACCAAGTACACGCATTAGTTGTAATGAAAAAAATACATAATCAATTATACCTTTAAAATCATATCTAAAACAAAATCAATATCAATATCAAAATCAAAACATTCTAATAATTCAAATAAACATACGTATAATTAGTATAAGGCATTATAGGAGATGATGTTGTTTCATATGCTGATTGTAATTTAAAATGATGTATTATATCAGTACTTTGTGTTGAATTAACATCAGCACGACTAATTTTTTGTAAATATGATTGATATGAAAGATCTTTAAAATCAGCATGATTCATTGAAATTTTTCCATTACGCATAAATTCAATAACACCTTTGAACGAAAAAAATTTACAAAAAAAAAACAAAAAGATTTTTTTTCCTATTTACCTGAATTAGGTAATGAATTAAAATCACCACAAAGAACTAATGGTACAGAAGTACAATCAATTGATGCATTAGAACTTTTTCGATGTTTTTGTATTGCATCTTCCATAATAGCTTTTAATTCTGATAATAACATTAATGTTTGAATAACTTTTACATCACTATATTCAGGATCCCAATGAATATGTGCTGTACAAACGAATAACAGTTTTTTATGATCAGATGGTAAAATACCTAAAAAGAGATTTTATCTTTTTATTTGAAAGATAATCTTTGTTTATTTTGTCTGTTACCATTTGAAAATGTATGAGAATAGATTTCTTCTTTTGTTTCAAGTAATGCAACAAGACCAATATTATCTTTCGTCATAACACGATTCATCATATCATGACATGCTGGACCATTTGCAGCTAACATTGCTAATTGATTAAATTCGACCAGATAATCTTTGATTAAACGAAATCTTTATTTAAAGTAATAAAAAAAATTATTTGAAAAAAGAAAAAAGAAATTTATTTCGTTTTTAATTACTTTGATTGACGATAAAATATAGCACAACCATCGACAAATCGACGATCTTGTTCGCACATTGTTTTTGCACGTGATTTTGGACTGAATACACCATCATAACCAATTTTTTGTAATTCAGGCAAAAAGTATAAATGGAATTGATCAGTTTCGATTTCCTAAAAATTTTATATTCACTCGTTTTTTTTTTTTTATTTATCAAAAATGGTATTTTTCATATTTAAAAATAAAGCATTATAATACCATTTGATTTTTTTCTGTTTAGGTCAAAAAAAGAATCGTTTTTGCACAATGAGAAATGTTATCAAAGTTTTATTCTAAAGTGAGTGATTCGGTTCTCTTTCTCTCTCTCTGACAAATATGTACTATTTAGAGATTCGATCGATGACCTTTACACTTTAATTATTGATTTCACAGATAGCTCTCCTATCTATAATATCTCATTAACTATTAGATAGATTTTCAACTTTACAAAAAATGTAATGAATTTATGTGACATTAAATACAACAAACATTACTAAAATATAACATTCTATAATTGAAACAGCTCTATAGTGTTTCGTATGTTACATGTCAAATGTAATAAATAATATAATGGCAATATAGACATCTGGTTATTTTCGATAACGTTCTCATAAAATTTAATTAAATAAAAACTATAACTTTCACTTAATTGAATATGTGTTTCGTCTATATTAAACAGAAAATATTCTCATCTATATGATTTAAAGATATTTTTAAACAAATTTATTCTTCAAAAAAAAAAAACAAAACTAACCTGCAGAGCAATAATATCAGCTCCATATGAACGTAATTCATCAAGTATTTGTTTTCGTCTATATTCCCATTTTAATGCCCATGATGGACAATAACCATAAACATGTCTTGTAGCATATTTATCACAAAGTATATTATAATTCATAACTGTAAATATTGCTGTTGACTGTTTTGTATTCGGTGATGCTAAACGAAGCCATGATCGTGTTGGTGGTGATTGAATAGCTAAAATAGAAAAATCATATTTCAAGTAATGTCTTTTTTCTATTCTTTTAATTAAGCAACAAAAATAAAACGCTCAGATTGCCATGAGTTAGTTCGATTATTCGAAAAAAAAGACTTAGATTATAATTCTTTCTTTTTCTCTCACACTCTCTTTCAATTGGTAGTGGTGTTAGGCATCGAAGGTAATACGATGGTAAATCTTCCATTGCCTCAACAATTGTATTATCATCAAAATAAACTGATGATATATTATTATTCAATTTTGTTAAATATGAATTATGATAATTAAATGCTGAGGTTGTTGCTTGTTGTTGTTGTATCCACGAATTATTATTTGTGTCAATATAATATAATTCATTAGGATATACATTAAATGAATTCATCATTGAAAATGATGACCAATCATTAAATGATAAACATTTACAACGATTAATATATGTATTTGCATATGGTATTAGTGTTGTTGGACATGTACATTTAATGTTATCATGATATTCTATAGTATAACTTATATTAAGACCAGTTAAATTAACAGTAAATTTAATTGGTGTTAATGTTGTATCATGATATCGATTATTATTAAGACGTTGTTTTTGTTGTCGACTTGAATAATATTTTGTACGTAAATTATATTTCATACGTTTAGCTTGACAATTTTCACAATAATTTATTGCTGTATAACGTCGTACTGGATAAGAATTGAAACGATTACGTTTACGATTAGAAATATTTTCCTTTTCACAATAACATATAAATAAATCGTGTGATTTATTATTATTATTGTTATTGCTATTTAATGATAAATTTTTTTTATTCGATAAACGATTTTGATTATTAAAATTTGTTTGAAGTTCAGATGAAGACGATAATGAAGAAAGATTACTGATACTTGATGATGGTGATGTTGAAGATGATGATGACGAAGATGATGATAAAGATATACGACGTATTGATGTTGTTTGATTATTTGCATTTTCTAATGAATTTGAAAATGATGGTTCGTCAAAATCGAATATAAATGGTGATGAATCTGTGTTTGGTGACATATATTGAATTGATTGTAATTCAAGATCAGTACCACTACTATAATCCGATGTTTCGGATAATAGTGGAACTTTAAAATTGCTAGAATTTATAGAAAAAAAAAAAGATTTCTTTATGAATGTAAACTTGCATATAATTAATTAAATTTGTATTTCGTTATTGTCTTACATAAAATACGTTTTTTCAAATGCAAAAGATTTTAGATGAATATTTTCAACTGATCAATTGATTTCTTACGAAAAATGTACTAGGTAACGGGTTATCGACCTTTCTGATTTAGAATAAGGCTATGAGAAATCTTCGTATGTCTGGAAATGTTGGTTTTATGAAACACCAATTTTCCAGACTAATAAAAATTTTTCTACAGTCGGCTTAAGTAAAATAATATCATATTCAAAATTTACACATGAATATGTTAATATCTATCTATTGTATGAATTAAAATGACATTGATATGCTTTTTAATATGAACAGATCAAACAAAAATTAAGTCACTCGAGAAAATCAGCATATGAGAACCTATAAGAGATTTCTCATGGCCATATTCAAAATCAGTATTCCCTCGGTAGAGTTATTTTAGAATGTTAACAGGATATAATGCAACATGCAATAATGCAATCGTTAGTAATAGTTTAATTTTATAGAATATTCTTTATGTAACTAAAAGTATGTATTTTTCTCTTATAATTATTTATGTTATTTGAATAAACAAAAATAGAAAAGGTAAGCAGTTCATTTATGAATGTTGTCTGTTTAAAATGTTTTATCGAATGCGTAAAGATTTATATAGAGTTCGATTATCTTTATCCATATATATATATATATTTAAGCTACTGGTGTAATCAGAACATAATGCACTAGAAATCGACACAAGACCTCGTAAGCCTCTTCTAGAGGAAGGTCATATCAACCTTTATAATATTTTCTAATTCTCTAGAGGGGTAGTGAGTCCCTTTTAGTTACATCGTTAACATATAAGCATTGACTATAAGCCTTGATTTCCATAAAAAGAAATCTTCAATAGTCAATGATTTCTATAAGTGACAGTATTTTGCGCTATGTTGATTTTAGATAATTTCTATTAAATTAACGATTTCTTAAATGCATCGTTTATCATAGTATCCAATTGAAACTTTGCCTCATGAAAAAGCTCTATGATAGAAATAAGAAAAAAAAACTATTGAAAAATCTTTTCTTCTGTTGTAAACACGAAACATTTCATAGATTTTGTTTTCTTTGTAATAAATATTTTCTCAGCATGATATCAAATTCATAAGAAAGATTTCCATCTTTTAATAACTATTTAGATTGAATTATTGATTTCTTCTAATAAAAATGAATAAGTTTACCTTGATATAATATCTTGTTTATGTTGTGATAAAAATGAAGTTTGACGAGTAGAATAGAATTCAGGCGAAAGTGGATTTAATGATGTTCGTAATAATTTATTATTAGTTTTTAAGACATTTTTTTTTCCATTTTCATTTATTTGCTCAGTACGAAATGGTACTTGAAAGACATTTGAATTTGAAAGATTTTCATCTTGTATATCAACACATTTTTTCTGTGATTTTGTTGAATGATTTGGTGATCGTGTAGATATATTATTATTGTTATTGTTGTTATTATTATTATTATTATTATTATTATTATTATTATTATTATTTCGTTTTATATTTGAATTATTATTAACATGTCGTCGAGATGATGATGACGGTATTGAACGGTCATTAGTTGATGATGGAAATAAATTTTTACATGAAACAGTAGCACGACGTGATTCCATAATTGAATACATGGGCTTGATTTTTGTTATATGAATAAAGTAAAAAATAGTAAAAAAAATAAATTATTGAATATGTATCAAAAGGACGGTCTCGTCATTTTGTTTAACTAAAATATAAGAAAAAAAAAATTATTTACGATATACTTGTTTCTTTGACTTTGATTTTCTTTTTCTGTTGATGATGACGAAGAAAAAAAGATGAAAAACGCACTGGAAGTTATTATGAACAACTTCAAAAATATGAAAAGTATTCATTGAGTTGATACTTTTTCTTTATACTGTTATTATGCGAAAGGAAGCGAGTAAGGTCAATAGTTTTCACTCACCCTCATTATCCTTGCCTTATTGTAGTGATCATGATCGTTCGTTATCGTTGTGTTCATAATAGAGTAAAAGAAACAGAATCGTGAAGGTCAAGAGAGAGAACAGAAATTCTTCTTTGATTTTTTATTATTATTATTAACTTTCAATTTATTGAGCGCATTTCATTCTCTCAGAAACGAGGCTTTTTTTTTATGTAATAAATCTATTACTACTTTTTCGAGTTAGAAAAAAAAAAACAAATATGTAAAGAATTATATTAATAAGACTATGATTATACTTCTCATTTTTCTCTTTCTCTTTGCTATGTTTTCTTGGTTAAAGTAGTGAAGGCAAAAAAAAATCGAGGAATAGAAGGAACTAATCTTCTTTTCTTTTTCTGTTCAACACATCGAACGAGGAAAAAAAGTTGAGAAGGAAAAAAAAACCTATGTGCCATTACACCGTCCCTGGATGGTGCCCTTTTCTCTTGCTCATCTATTTTCAGTCGAATGATGATGAGTATTGAACAAGGCTTGCATGCTCACGCATCTATTCAGTCGACGCTAATTGTGTTGGCCAACTTCGACGAAAAAAAAATGGCAAAAACAGTTCTCTTGATGATTCAATAGGACTTAAGTACATAGACGAACTCTATAAAACACAAAAGAAATGACAAGAAATATTCAATGATCAAAATAATAGATGAATATGACTTTGCATTCTTTATAACCCTGGAAAATATATGATAAAGAGAATAGGTTACATTAGAATACTCAACAAGCCTCCCACGGTTGTTTTTCCATGCAATTTTACTTATTTTTCTTTTTTTTATTACCTTCATTATGTCACGTTTTCTTGTCTTTCCATTACTCGAGTATATTTACGCATTTTTAATCCTCGCATTATCATTAATTAATGATGAAAAGAAAAAAAAAAAGAAAAGGCTGGATATCACAACGAATCCATCTTAAGAAAATAAAACAACCGTTAATATATGAATATTGTCTGATAAATTATGATCAAAACTTTTATATACAGACCTATGAAATATAAATTCATAAATAAAAAGACAAAAATCCGTTTCTAAATCATCATTACAGATCAGAACTCGTGTATCTTTTTCTTTCTTCCTTCGTCGACCGTTTTCTTTTTACTTTCACACGTATCTGTACTGTGGTACGATTGGCTATGAGCAATGATGCGTGAAATACAATGACATATTCAAACGAGAATACGTTTCATTTTGAAATACCTACGTTGCATACGGTTTTTTCCTTCCTGTATGATTGTCAATATCATACAAATAATGCAAAAATTACTTCATGTCAACAATTAATCTGTATTTATTCGATATGAGACAGTCATCAGATGATAACCGCAGATCTTTTCTGAATTTTCTATTATTACATCGTATACAATGTGACTGTGCTTCTGTAGATAGATGTTCGCCTTTGCGAAATTATTAATAGCTTCTCTGAAAACGAAAATCTCGATAAAACACTGTAATAAATAATAATTCAAAAATGCAGTTGACATTGAAAGTCTTGCATCATTTTGTTTTATTTATAAGTCATATAAAAAAAAACTACACAACATTAATTGAATATGATCATTTGACTGTATTATAGAGTTAAAATACTATATACAGTGTGTACCCAAATAATTCAACAAGGTTTATTTAAAAATTTTTTTTACCGCTATCATAAATGCTAGAAAGAATCCAAATAGTAAATTGAATAGAGAAAGCAAGTTTGCAAAAAGAATATAAGGAAATAAAAAATTATTATCGGATTTTCCAGCATAAGAACTCCAGAAAAACGAAAACCTTGGTTTTTCAGCACATAGAAAGTTAGAGTAAACAATTCCCTACAAAATGAGAATATCTCTAAGTTCTCCGCGACATTTCTGGCCGAGATACAGTAATTTGATTGAAGGTCAAAAAATGGCATTTCTATAGGAAATAGTCAAAAAACGACTTGAGAACTTCCATAAAATTGTTGTATCTTAGCTAAACAACATTGCAGGAAACTCAGAAACGTCTCATTTTCTACAGAATTGTTTGCTCTATTGTTCTATATAGTTTAGAAAAAAAATTATATTTACGTGTTCTAGATGCTGAAGAACTAAGATTTTAAGTTTCTGGAGCTCTTAGATTTAAAAGCCTAATAATAATTCTTTATTTTCTTATATTTCTGTTGAAAACGATTTCCTCTATTCGAATCATTATCTGAATTCTTTCTAGCGCTTAAAGTAGCGAAAACAAAAATAAAAATAAACCTTGTGGAATAATTTTGATATTCACCGTATATAATACAAGAAATGTTTGAATATAAAATAGAATGAACAAATCGAAACGTTAGCACTAACCAAAAAAAAAAAAAAGAAAGACAGCATTGCAAACCTTAATAGTTTCATAACACGAACTAAACTCGATGAACCATAATGTTAATATTAAAGAGCATACTTTAGAAGAGGCTATAGGCATGCCATCTTTTTGTAGCCTCTTATTTACGGTGCTCGAACTTGCAAAAAGAAAAAGAAATACAAATTTGAATGAACTACATGTAGTGCACTTAATTTGAAACGTGTATGTCTAATATTAGATAAAGTAAAAATTTACCATAGATTAAAATCAAAATAAACATTTCATAATGTAAGACATTTAGGATTAGTACAAGTACTAGTAATGTCTACTCAAGCATCAAAATATATCATTTTACAAAACGTTAAGATGTAGGAAGAGAGTATTCATTATTCACTGGAATAAAAAATTTTACTTACAACGTTGAACAATGAATAGTATAAAATAAATCGAAGAAAGTATTAAACATTATTATAATTATCGTGATATTACATATGAACAAGATGTATGTAAATATAGTCTATTTCCATTAAAATATTGTCATTCCTCATAAATGTTTTAACAATAATATTGTATTGTGTTTTTTTTTATGTTAGTACTAAAATTTCTATTTATTCATTGTATTTTATATTCAAGTATTTCTGGTATTAAACACCTATACACTTAGTAATACTTGACGTCTGCTATGCAAACATATAATCATATTGGATTGATGATGTGTAGTTTTGATGTACAAGTTAAAAACAAAAAAATTACGCGACACTTTTAATGACGACTGTGAATAAAAAAGGATACGCAGTATATTATTTTGATCTTCTATGTAGATGAAACAAACCTTTCATTTTATGCATGCTTATTGTATTGTTAGTGATCAATCATAATAGATAAGAATATTAGGGCGTATTTTCTTTTTGAATACAATATTTTCAACAGTAGGAAGATGACTGAAAGTTTATTTTAATAGTACACTTATGTGGGTTTTTTATCCTTTCCAGCATCTTCTCTTTTTTTTTCTGCTACAATATATAAACAAAGGACATACTTTATCGTTCTTATACAGTACACCTTGGTAACAACATTGCCGTTGACAGTTGTTAAGGGTAAAAAAATATTCAGGCATACGTGCAAAAAAATAAAATGACGCAGAATGATCGAATAGAAGAGAGTGTGCGCGAATATTGTAATTATCACATTGTCTAATGATTATACATGACATAAAAATAAAATTATTATTTATTATCAAAACGATTGTGTAGGTCAAATTATTTAAGAAAACATCATTCAGCAGTATATGAATTGAATATGATTTTTTTCTCTCTATTCTAAACGAAACCTTTCAGTTTGATACAAGTACATATTGAAGTTGTATAAAAGAAACAATGATTATTAAATAACCAATAGAAAAAAGAAAAATAAAGAAAAAAAGTCAGCAGGTAACTCCAATTCTCGTTTTATGTTTACATGCATTGTATTACGTTCTATGTTTGACTATCATTTCATTAAAGAACTATTTAAAATTTATATGAAAACAGAATTATATTACAAGCTTACCTATTTATAATGTTTGTTTCGCAAAGCCCATTTATTTGTTTGGTATCATATTGAGAAGAAAACTTAATAACGTAGAAAATAATAATACCTGTATTTCGAAAATATAGAGAAAAAACGTGGGGACAACAAGAAAAAAACACTCATGACAATCTGATAAAAGTTTTCCTTTTGTTTTTTTCTTTATACCATTGAGAGACGTTGAAAAATTATCAAGAAAATAAACTAATAATTTTTGTAAACCATTTGATTCAGTATAAATTGAAAAAATTTCATTTGATAATGGATTTCCCACTAATCCTATGAAGTAAATGATTATTTTATTGCTTTTTGTTTAATATAGAATAATTCATTTACCTAAACTTCGTAAACGAAATAATTTACCAATTTCATAAGGTAGATTTCGAATAGAATTATTTGTTAAATTCAATTCACGTAATGTAATTAGATCACCTATCAATCAAAAAGATTAAAAATGATAATTTTTTTTTAAATACGGAAAAATTTTATTAAACAAAAAAAACCTAAACCAAACCAACGATTTTGGACAAAAAAAAACTAAAATCAACATTAATAGTTTTTTTTTTCAATAAAAGTTTGTCTAGAACTAATGTTACGATTTCTTGTCTGATTATTAGCGAATGTGTTAGATGAAAAAAAATATTTCGACGTAAATGTCAATAAATTGAAACATTCAAATCAAATTCTCATAAATTGTTTGCACTTTCTTTCTTAGGATTCTGAGTAAATCTTTCCAAAATTTATTTAAGAAAGTAACCAATTTTAAATGTTTGTATTGTTATAATAGAATATTTCATCCCACAAAATCAATAAATAGTTTTTGAACTTTGTTTGCAGAAGCCATAAAATCGGCAGAATGTGGAAAGGGAGTGTACACTCCCCTCCAATAATTACAAAGTATTCATTAATACTCAATACAACTAGCACGATTTTTTGAATTTTTTACTACCTCTATGAGTCATCTTCTTATACACCTTCAATCTTGAGATCCTCGTACATTTTCTGATTATTTGCAGATACACACTTGAAAGTCTTGACTGTGTTCGAGATTCACTATACAAATAATAAGTCATCGCAACATCGTTACATTTCTACTGATACGTTAAATACTCGCATCATCATTGCTCTGCCTCTTCAATCCGTGATCCTTCCATCCTTTAATTCGATTCCGCTTCATCGAAAAATTGTTTTGACAAGCAACTATTTTGCAAGTTTTTCAAGCATCTAGGTCAAACAAGTACGGTCATAAACGACAGCATTTAGAGATATACGACAGTTCGCATAACCTAGTAATACGATCATATATCTTCATGTTGTATACAAAGAAATATTATGATTGTTATGACCCGTATCTTATTTAGTTTCTCTCATAAGGATTTTTCCATCTTTATCTAGAACATTATACATATGCACTTATGTTCTTCTTCTATTCTCTTATAGTTTAGTCATACGTCATGGACTTTTCCTTTCTCATCATATGTTGGACTTTTCCTATCCTTTCATTTTTCTTTCTTTCATGTTATTATATGGATTGTTTCTTATTTATCGCTATAAAATTTCTCAGTCCTTCGTGTCATCCTCCTATGTATAACGTTGCATTGTTATGTAGAGGTTTTGGAAAAAGTTATTGTTGTAAAAATAAAGTATAAGTAGGATTAAAATTTCACAATGGTTTACCAAGACTCAATGTCTGGTTTATATCTTCGTATTCGGAGGTCGTAAACAGTGTCTGCTTTGTCTCTAATACCGTCACAGAGATATAGAACCGTAATACTGAACTCTATAAACTATTATAAGATGGTCATATACAATGCAATATAGTTATTGACGATCGTATACAGACTCCATATTCTGAGCGATCGGCATACATCATAGACTATTTCAATATACAGTAAAATATTTAATCCCAATTATTCTTTTTTAAAAAGTTTTAGCTATTTTCGAAGAAAAAACCTGTACTACAATTTCATTGGGATTAAAATGTGAAACACAATATTGCTGCTGTTGCTAATCATAGGAGATTGTTTTATTCGTTCTATTTTGGGACACATTTCTTCACCATATTGTTACTTAATATTCTTAAAATGCAATAAGAACGTAATTCATATATTCAAATAAGACATTATTGATATACGATCTCTGATTGTACATCAACATCGCCTGTCATAATCTGTAAGGGAAGAAATTTCAAAGTTTTACAACTGTACTTCAAAACTCCTTTAATATCGTATTTCATAAAAGATGGCTATCATTAGAAAACAGGAGAAACGGTCAAATTCCTTTGTGTTTCATTGCCAAAAATTTTAACATGGCCCGGTGGTAGAGTGACATAGCGACTCGCAAATTTTAGGATTGTATCATTCTATATTAATAAAACATACCGATTTCTGACGGAAGATTTCTCAATTTATTATTTGATAGATCAAGTGTGATTAAGTTAGTTAAACAAACTATTTCAGATGGTAATCGTGTTAATTGATTGTCATTCAAATATAAAACAGTTAATTGTGATAGTGTCCATAATGTTGGTGATAAATTTCGAACATTACCAGTTACTTCAAGTTCATTCCCTAGATAAAAACAAAAGAATTATTCTTTTGAAAATTTTATTATTTGACTTTTACATTCAATTTTTTTTCGTATTGAATGATCTGTTGATAGTGGAAGTAAACGTTTAGTAGATTTTTCTTGATGATCATTAGAATTCGAAGATATATTTGTTAATGACAATGACGATTGATATGGATACAAATGAGATGGTTGTTGCTGTTGAATAGATTGATAATAATATTGTTGTGATGAATGATTGTGTTGAGAATGATACATTGATGATTGATCAACTGATAAAGAAGTATGCTAAATTACATAAATAAATAGAAAATTTAATTATTGTTTGAGTTAAGAAATCATTTACATAGTTTAAATTGACATCAGGCATTTGTATTCGTGCTTAAAATATATTAAAAAACAAATTTAAAACACCAAATTCTAAAAGACGAAAAAAAAATATTCATTTGAAGTTAGTAAAACTCGAATGAAAAATTAATTTGCTATTTTTTAATACAATAGAGATATATGAATTACACGAGAGCTGATCTATTCAATTAAAAAGAATGGTCCATTTAATGGAAAAAAAAATCCAATTTTTTTTTAATTTCAGCGAAAGAATTAATTTATAAAATAAAATATCAAAAATATAAAATATTATTAGATTTCTTATCAAGAAGTGTCGTAATCATACTTGTAGTTCTATATTTGGTTTTCAGATTCGTATAATATTATCACTAATCGCATGAAGTGCTTACTTGATGTACAAACCTAGTTTATCCGCTTATATTCTTAATGCAATGTTGTTTAATTTTATCAATTTGGATAATGAATAACGTTTTCATTTCTTTACATATCGATTTGTGTAACATTAGGTATGCAACAGTGATGTTGTAGCAGAGTACCGATCTTTTAAGTACAACTTCGTATTGATCTAGATACTAACAAATAGAATGATGATGAATGTATTAGAAAATGACGGTGATCCTACAAGACAATGTTTTCCACTGATAGATCGTTGTTGAGTCCGAGCTCAATGCATGAAGTAAACTCCTATGACATATGAAAAAACTACAAAGGATAAATTCTATTAATGATTCTGCTCAAAGTTATAGACATTTTACTATAATTTTAGTCTTTAGCATTGTATTAACAACAAATCGAATGACGATATTTCTATCCGAGATTTTGTCTACAGACATGTCGATTTGTCAATAGAATGTCCTAAAAATTTCAGCTCAAACGAATATTTTTTTTCCCAAGATATTAAAAGGTTCAAAAACACAGAAAATTTGTAGCATTTTTCGTGCAATAGAAGTGATTTTTTGGACTTTAATGTCTCGAGAAGAAAACATTCTGCTGAAAAAATAGACTCGTCCATAGGCAAAATCTCAGATCAAACAACTATTATTCGATTGGTTAGTATGTACCATGCCGAGACTAAATTTATAGTAAAATGCCTATAACTCTGAACAGAAGGTCTAACAGAACTTATCCTTTTCATGTTTTTCATATCTCACTGGAATCTACCTTATTCATTGTATTCAAATTCAAAAACGATTGATTAGTTAAAAACGTTCTCTCGTAAGATCACTGTAGTTTTATCATGCGTTCACCGTCATTCTTTTCGTGCGTGTTCAGATCAGTGCAACACTCTATCTAAGACCGGTCGCAACCACCATCGTGGTTGTATCCCTACATAACATCATATGCTGAGTTTCTCTAGATCACATCTGTATTACTCAAGTTAAAAACGACCAACTCTGATTAACACATCATGAAATAAACAATCCACAATAAGATTTTTGATATTTAGAAGAATAACGAAATTTATTTTTTTTTGCATTTATTAGTTTATATTCAAGGAACAAAGTTTATAGCGCATCGACTTGAGACAAATGACAGAAATTTATTTTTTACTCTAACATAAATCACAAAAAAATGTTAGTACCGTTTAGAATATGAATCTAAATTTTATGAAACTTGTTTTTTCAGATGAATTGAATTTTCATATACCAAAAAACAAACAAACAAAAGTAATCTAAAATATAAAGAATAATTGTTTTAATTTTTTTTTTTATTTTTAATTCTTCGCGTTGTTACATTAAAAAGATAAACGAAATATGTACTGTTATTTCAGCACCTTTTAATTGATTTTTTTTTGTTTTGAAATTTTGAGCAAAAATTCTTTCTGATTGCAAAAAAACAAAACCGCACATCACAAGATTCTTTTTGTTTTCTTCTAGCATTGACAATAAAACAAAACAAAAAAACAGAAGAAATTAAAGAAATGAGGAAGAACAAGAAGAGGAAGAAAACAAATTCACGAATAGATAATTATAATAGTAATAACTCGTTTGCATGTGTGTATATCCTTGCTTTTGAATTATACAATACCATGAGAGAAATAGTCGATTGAGCAAGCCAAAGAAAAAAAAAAAGAAAAATAAATAAATAAATATTTCAGGTTAAATATTAGAATTAGTTTCATTCGGATCTATTTCTGTATTATCCCAAGACAATGGCATCTAAGAAGAAAAAAAACACATGGTCCAATACATATTTTGATTTTGGTTTCATTGATTTTTCATTTTACTTTATATGAAGACAGTTTTGAAAACGAACAAAGTAAATTCCATTTTTCACGTAAATAATTCATTACTTCACGTGTACCATTAGGTCGAGCAAATAAACTTAAGATATGATCACCAAGTGGATTATTGTTTAAACCTATTTAAAAAAAGAAAAACTTTTTTCTTGCTTAAAGTTTAAAAAACAAAGTTTTACCAAGATCTTCAATATTGAGTTTGCCTAATTCGTATGGTAAATTTTTAAGAAAATTTGATTCAAGATAAAGTCTTTTTAAATTGATTAAATCTCCTAGACAAAATAAAAGAAACATTTTTTATTCCGTATCTTCCTAGAATATTAAAGATTTAAATAACTTGCACGATATGAAACTCTATATTCTATTGTTTATTGACATGAAAAATGAAAATACTATGGGTTGAATTATTGTTTTGAATGTCAGGTAAAAGTCCCGAATTTGAAAACAATACTGTCCGATAAGATCATAAATCTCCTATCCCCTTCGATGTCACTTTCAATAGAATACAAAAATAGACAATGAAATTCTGCACATTTTTGTGTTTTGTTAAATGCAAAAATAAATTTTTGACGACTAAATAGTCTTAGCGATCTATCAATTTTTGGCATTTTGATAATATCTATAGTAACCATGAATTTTTCTTTTACAAACTCGATATGGAAACTAATAGTGTAGATCGACATTAATTTTCATGTTCTATGAATGCTATATATATATAAATACCAAATTAGTACTAAAAATCTATATGATCAAAAACCTGCGCTGTCTCATGCTCTGATATTTTATGAGAAAACTCGATGTGATTCACCAGGGTGCATTTGTTGTAAAAATTTTCTTTTGCTGAAATATATGTGGTACAATGTATTCTTTGTACTAACTCCGAATATGATATTCATTTTGCTCTGTAGTTAAAATTAGACCACGATTCAATAAGAAAACGGTTGACATTGACCTCTAAAGTGCGCCCGAAATGAATACCTTGTTACAATGTTTTGATGAGAATGAAACTTAGGATAGAACAGATTTCTCTCAAAACTATATAGACCAGTAGAGTATGAGACGATGCAGTTTTTGATCGTAAAGATTTTTAGTATTAATTTAGTATTTATATAAAATAGCACTGTACAAATGTGTGAAAATTTATCTGTATGATTTGAAAATAGTATCAATCCCATCTGTATAACTCGACATAATCTAAGACAGAAACCAATGGTATTCATGACCATTATGCCAATGAGTAGAACATGAAAAACTATGTCGATCTACAGTATTAGTTTTCATATCGAATTTGTAAAAGAAAAAATTCATGGTTACCATAGTGATTATCGAAAGTGCTCAAAATTGATAGACACGTAAAACGATTAAGTCTTCCTAAAATTTATTTTTGTGTCCAATAAAACAAAAAAAAATGTATACACAGAAATGTACAAAATTTCATGATCTATTCTTTTATTTTATTGAAAGTGTGACCAAACGGAGTGGCAGATATATAGCCTTCTCCAACAGCATTCTTTTGGACGTGATAGGCTCTAATATTAGGATCAATTTTCTTATTTCGTCAATGTTTTTTGACACTAGTTTGGACGATTTTCAATCTGTTATTCATTTTGTTTTACTATTTCTTCTCTAGAAATTTTTGAACAATGAAAAAACCTATCTCAATTAAAATTGACTATTTTCATACATTTTACAAATGTATGTTAAATCATTGCACTTTAAAAGAAATATTAATACTTCTTTATATTTCAAGAATATAGATTGAAGATTAGTACATATATATAATTCAAATATTATTGAAGAAAAATATCAAAAGAAAAAGATTATGTTTGGTACCCAAAAATGATTATCGATTGTAGAGAAAAAGGAATATAACAAACCAATTTGAGATGGTAATGTTTTTAATCGATTGTGTGACAGATCGAGATAGACAAGATTAATTAAATTTCCAATTTCTAAAATATAAAATATAGCATGAATAAATTCAATGGATACTTCTCGTAAAAAACATATTTCGAAATGATCTTCATAGTATAGCAATCACTTTTATCTCAAAAACTACATGACTATACGCAATTCATGGTGTTAATATGGAGTATATTATGGTCAAAGAGGAAACTGGTCGCTGGTTCCACTTCTGGCTTATGTCATGAGTCTTAGATTCAACAGTTATTGTAGAAATAAAGGTTGATCATCAAAACAGAAAAAAAATGATACTTTTAGAACAAAATATAATTGACCAACATCGAATTCGTTCATTTAGCAATAACAAAATCGTATTCTGTTTTGAGATTAAAATATGAAAATAATGACGATATGTAATTCAATATGTATGCATATTATTGTATACTGTTGTTATTTTAATAGAAAGTCGCATATTGAATATTTTCTAAGAATCATTCAAATTTCCCAGTTTCATGATATAGATTAGACATTTACCTGAGTTTATTATAGAATAAAATTTTAGTATATTAACTGGTCAAACCGGTTCCATCTCTGATTAGATTTCTGCAAGTTCTTAGGCTTTAGTAGATTCCATGTCTTTCTTTCCAAACTTCTTCTGACAACGGAGTTTTTTCTTTTATCAAATTCAATTTCTAATCAGTCTACTATGAATCATTGAATAGAATATCGACCAGAGATTTCTTTATACAGCCAATTTAATCTTAAGTTTCAACTTCTAAACTATAAAGCAACTAAATATTTTATATTGACCACAAAAAGCATTTCGTCATTATAGATTCACAAACTAATCAGAATCGTACTGTATTCAGCTAAATAAATAATAATCAAAAAGATAGAAAAGAAAAACACATATATGAACTAGAGGACTAAAGAGAATGTAGTGGAGAATTATCTATAATCCACATCATTCTTGATGTGTAAAAAAATCTTACATTATTGAATCTAGGAACGAACAGATGTAACAGTGCCGAGGAATAACTAGAAAATAGATAGTGTCATGTATGTTTTAATATTCTCAGGGTAAATAAAAACTTTATTATATAAATATATATGACTAGAATAGTACATGCAGAGCCAATATCAACATGAATCAATTATAAAATGGGGACATGTATATTTTGATAGAAGAGAGATCAATTATTTATTTATTCTTTCATTATGTAGAAAAAAAAAGAAAAATCTTATTCTAAAAATACACTTTTATATATTTTATGTTTCTCATTTTTTACAGCGTGTCTTAGTATGTGAAACTTAAGATTGCAATATCTACAAAAATACTATCACTAAAGATATTTTATCCTGTGATATATGATAGATTGATGAGAAATTAAATTTGACGAAAAAAAAAAACAGCATTATCAGAAAAGATTTCGTAATTAAAATCGTGTTATTCATGGATTAATGCGAATTTATCTACTCATGTCAAAGAGAAAACTACCAGTCCAATTCTACAAAGAAGAACTGACGAATTTAACATTGCATTAGGACTAGATTCTTACAGTTTTGTCAAACTAGAACTGTCGGAAGTCGGTTATATTAAGGAAAACGTAGATTAATTACGAGAGAATAATTCAGTGACACGTATGAATATGAGTCCGAGTCAAGTGTTGAACGAACTGTACCTTATTTAGTTTTATTAAGAGATTTTGCATCACTATTCGATGAGTTGTTGTTCATGGTATTGAACAAGTTTGTTCAGGTCACCGAACAATTGATCTTGGCTCATTTTCACAAGTGTTATTAATTTTTTCTTCTCTAATTACTCAATGTCTTCCTCAACGTGACTGATTTTCAAGAGTTCTATTCCTAATATATTGCTGGATTGGCAAGTTTTTTTTTTTTTAATTTTCAGTACTTGATAATTTAATGTAGAATATCCTTCATCAATTGTTTATTTTTATACTGATCTTCGAAAGAAAATCATTTATTATCTTATAATGACTTTTGACTGTTCCAACTTTAGTTGAAAAGGGAAAATGTCGAAACATTGAAATTTCGATAATGATAGTGTATGAAAGAAGAAATCTTCATCACCTTTACCTTTACCCTAATGTTTTCATGTTTTTTATTTTCTATCAAAATAGAATGTACTTTGCTTTTATGACATATTAAAAAGAACATAGTACTTTGAAAATAGAAAAGTTCTTATTAAAAAAGCCTTGCATGATTTTAAAATATGTTTTTCTTATGCGTTTATTCTTACAATAAATTTTCTTGAGATTTTTTTTTTTGAAATCATACTAATTGATATAATACATTTTTTTCTGTTCGATTTACCTGCTGGTAAATATTTTAATTCATTATTACTCATAATTAAATATCGAGTATTTGTTTGATAGAAAAGCACCGGACTTAATGTTCGTACTTTGCCTTTTATTTCTAATCCAGCTAAACCAGTTTCCATACCTACAAAGAAAAAAAAAAACAAATTATATCCAATAAGTTTTTTTATTCATTCATTATTACCATTTATTGGTCCACGTAAGTAATATTCATCTTCCTCCTCTTCTTGTTGATCATTTATAATCGGTTGTGATTGTAAAAATAAATGTTTATTTTCATGATCATCATTATAAAAAAAATTATCGTTAAATTCGTCAGGTAAATAATGATTATTAGTCGATGATTGCATTCTTTTAAAAAGAACAATAACACACAAAACAAACAAGACAAAAAAAATGTTTTCCTTTTCAAATGAAAAAAATCAAATAATACGTAATGCCATTTGATAATATGTTTATGTCGTGACTTATGTGCCCGCACACACACGACTATTTAGGTTTATAATTTCAATCTAAAAAAGAAAAGACTGCAAACGTTTCAATATGTATTCTACAAGGAGAATAAAAACAAATAAACTAAAGGATAATATCGTAAAATAAGAAAATTCCTGTTTTTTTTTTTTTCTTAAACTTGCCACTGACTTGCATTTACATCTAAACGTTGTGTGGATGGACGAGCAAGTGCATAATAATCAAGTACATGTGGTCGATCAGGAAAAAATGTACGAGATTTAAATACTTTTTCACCAAACCATGTACCAACTTCCCAACCTGGTACATCATTCATTAATTTTGTTTCTTCATCACGATTAGCACGATATTGTCTTAGAACAATACGATCTTGTTCAGCTAATAATACTGGTTCAATACATGAACGACTTTCATCCATTTCCATTTCTAGAGAAAAAAAGAACTTGATTTTTTTCTTTCTTTTCAATAAACAGGAATTATTTATTTACCACTTCGCCAGTATTCACGTTTTTCTGATATATGATAAAAATATCCAAATATATTTGATGCTAACCAAGCAGAAACAAATGGCCATAGAGGAATACGACGTGAGGGTAATCGTGCCCAAGGTATTGGAGCATAACCACCACGTGGTGGCAAATCTTGTCGATAGACGGCTACTTTAGAAAAGCCCGTCATAATCTATAAAAAACAAAAAAAGGAAAAAATCTATTTGAGTTCTGTTTGTTCTGTTTGTATGTGTGTATCTGAATAAAGTTTTTTTGTCTTCATACAGTGTTGTACTATTATTTGCTTGTTTTTTTCTTCGTAATATAAAATGATTGATTTTTACCAGTAAGATTAGTTTGAAAATTTTTTTTCGTTTATGTATTCTGGTTAGTTATTTATTTATTTTTATCTACGTTTATTGATTTATTTTAAAAGAAAAAAAAAGACTCACAAGCGACATCTATAAATGATATTGTTAATAAAAAAAATTATTAGATTTTGAAAAATTTCTAAAAAAAAATTTTTTAAGCAATTTCAAACGTCAAAACATAAAAGCAAAAAAAAAGGAACATTGTTCTTTTAACGACTAATTGGAAGAACACAAAAATAGTTTTCCATGTCCCGATGAATGAATATCCATTTTGTTTGGGGTCGGATGATTGATGTACTCAAGGTACCTATTACAATATTTTTATTTGTCCAACAAAAGTAGTTTCATTACGTTAAATAAACCAATTAATTGGAATTAGTGAATTCATAATATATTAAATAATATAGATATCAAGAAACAGTTTCATTATGACTTACACAAGAGCTACTCATGTAAACAAGGGCACAGTCAATGGGAAATGTGTGGAGCGTAACGCTCCCTGAATTTTAAACGTGTCTCTCCTGTGTTCTCTCTACGACTTCACACCTTTAGTAATGATTTACGTTTTTGTATATCGAAAGAATATTCGTCAGAGAAAAGATAGATTTACTTGCAATCCTGTGACACTACTAACTAACAAGATGAAATATAGATCACATAAATAACAAGAAAAACATCTAACTACTTTATACAGTAAATTTGACATAAGGATATGTCAGTGAATATAGTTGTAAAAAAATCGAAGATCAATTCGAATTAATAAAAGTTTTGAAGGAACAGTTTCATATTTAGTACAACTATCATAATTGTGTCAATAATAACGATGTTCGTCGAAATATTAATTGATTAAGAACACTATGAAAATATTTTCGGGACAAGTCTTACAAATTTCTGAAGTCTTCTTAATTATTATTTATATCGAACTGACTAAAATACAGTACTATATTTAATGATTTTCAGTTTTTATCACAAAAATTCGCTAGTTTCATAACTTTTTGAGTTCAATCGACAAGAACAATTTCAGAAAGTAGAAAGCCCGAGATTTGTTTTATTTTGTTGTCGAAATCTTTCTTAATTGCTCGAAAAGCAAAAATTTGCTACAACGAATATCTAGTCTTCACTATCATACTGACCTTTATATTCAAGATGAGCTACATAAACATGTGAAAATGCATCATGTTGTAAGTTCTTTCAAATCAAACATAATAGTGACTAGCCATTGTTTATAATTCTTTGCTTTGTATATTGATTGTTTATATTCATGTTTTTAAAGAATTGAACGAGTTTCTAATATTCCAATTAATTTCTTGGATACTTTTATAATGATTACAGTATTTAGAAATTTTAGTTATATACATTTGAAATTTTACTTCTATAGGAGATGAATTGATATGGTAATTGAATTTCGTTTTAATACTATTCGAAAACCAATATAATAAACTTTCTACATAATATAAATTCTACAAAAATTCTAATCAAGCATTTGACAGTTAATGGATACATCAAAATAATATTCGATTTATTAATAACAGTACTTCATTAAAATCATTATATAAACATTAACAGATAAATATTTTCTCTAGAGTTCATTATAGATTGCAATGTGAATCAGAACTAACACATATGCATGGGATAACTACTTTTCATGGTATATGCTTCAGCTGTGATTAATACATTAAATTGATAAATAAAGACATGTATACCTTTAATTTGCAGTCAACACTGCATATTTTTTTTTAATAAAGACAAATTTAGCTACCATACCATAGTGAACAAAAATCTTCGGCCTAAATAATGTCACTTATTAATACGTGCAGGATGTCTGAAACTTCTTACACATATACTTCATGAAGTGTGTAAGTCAGAGACATGATTCCGCTTCAATTGGCTAAGTATAAAAATAATTATGATGGATAACACCTATTTTTGCATTAAAACTTTTAAACCAAAAAGAACTGCCTACTCAATAATGCACTACTTTTTACCAAATACATGATTAATTCTTCATGTTGTTTCAATAGAACTAGAATTCAATCTATGATTGTTCTTTAGCTAAAAGATGAGTTCATTTACTCGAATATTGACGTCTCTAGATGTTTCTGAATACTTCGTCTGATCAACACGATGGTTATAGCTATACCAGTTCTCATCAGTACACAGTCTGTTTTTTTATGAAACTTGCTGGCGCTAAAATCCAACTATATAAGTAGCTTCTCTAAGAGCTTGAACTTCATTCACAAAGTTATCACTACGTTCTCGTCTCAAAAGAATACTAGATGATTTTTCTTCACATCATCATTCACAGTGAAAGGGTCTCCTCAGTGCTAGAGAAGGCTGACAAATTTCAATGAAGTTAGTTGCGTGGGTACCTGAAATATCATGCTACATAATGAGCCGTTAGTAGACTTAGAAAGCTTGTGTTTTACGGAGTTATAGAGTTGAAAGGTGATATAGGTGCCATCCATTGTCATTTGTCATATTTTTCTTTGTACTTAAGAAATCGAAGCAGAATTATCTCTGACCTATACTCTTCACGAAGTAGATGAATACACAAAGCTTTTTGTCTTCTAGCATCTATAATGACTGAGACTATCTAGGATGGAGCCTTTTGTCCATCACTGTTAATGATTAATATATATATATATCACATGTTGTAATAAAACCAAAAACGAAAACTATCAATATGATGCATTTTTAGAGGCAATCTAGTTTTATTAAATATCCAATTGAAGTATCCAATAAATTCTCAATAGCAACAAATAAAAGACGGGAAAAGAATTCATATGTATCTTAACATCTTGTACGACTCATTTTTTCAATAAAACCATTTTGATAACGATGAAAACGAAAAGTTAACAGAGATAGAGAGAGAAAAAAAGGAGTTTTTTTCTCTTGAAATATATTTATATTGCTGTTAAACTGAAAATCAAGTTACTTTCAAGTGTTGGTATTATTCTCTATTAGATATATTATTGTTTTATTATCATTCATCTAGCTTGCTGATAACAGTCAAATTAACTTATGGCTTGTCTACATTGAATTTTATGATGATTCTATGAGAATAAAATGTCTTTGACTCACAATTTATTTCATTCGTTTTTGTAAAATCATGTTTCGAGGATTCGATGCATTGAATTTATACTGTATTGTGGTAATATTATTTTTTTATTGTAATCATTCGATTTCAGCTATTTATTGTTACGAATGTTCATCGACATTTCCAGCAAGTAGTATTTGTTTACCAACATGCTCTCAATCATTTAAATTGGGTAGCACATGTCTACTTACACGCAATATTTCATTAGAACCTAACGATTTTGGATCACTTCATGCTGAACACATCAGTAATGCATCTGTTATTTCAACTCCAGCAGAAAAATATTTTGTTTTTGGAGAAGAAGCTGTATATCGAAATCCATCTGAAGCTGTTGGTTGGTATTGGGAATATGGATCAATAACATATGGATGTGATACTTCGTAAGTAAATTGAGAATTCTGAAAATATTCATTCTATTTATTGTATATATAGTCGTTGTAATAATCCAGAACATGTTAATGGCTTACCTAATGCATTAAATATACGTATACCAAATGAAACACTTGATCATTTACTTACTGGTGAACTTGATAATAACTGTTATCAATGCGATACATGTCTTGATAGTGATGTTACTAATACAAACATGTCTACCTGTTCAATGGTAGCTTGTCCTAATCATGCATGTAATTTTGTTGCCACACGAAATTCTTCAACTAGTGTAGCAAAATGTGGTGGTGGATGGCATTTTACTAGTGGCTGTATTCTTTCAAGAGAATACGCTTCAGTTGACATGACTCTTATCTATTATATTCATTCAAATACTTCTTTTCTCTATCAAATGAAAGCTGTTTGTTTGAATGATAATTGTAATAATTTTACGACATTCAGACAATTGAAAGATGCTGTTACTGTTGATCCTGATCTTACTTGTTTACTTAATAATTTTACCAGTATTAGTACAACATCTAGACCAACTTCATCGACAGCAAGTGGAACATATTCTACTACTTCAAGTAGAAGTTCAACAACACCAAGAACAAGTACTACTTTAAGAACAACACCAAGAACAAGCACTACTGCAAGAACAACACCAAGAACAGGTACTACTTTAAGAACAACACCAAGAACAGGTACTACTTTAAGAACAACATCAGAACCAAGTACTACTGTAAGAACAACACCAAGAACAAGTGGTGGTGTAACAACAGTATCAACTAAACCGCCATTATCTACAACAACAACAGCGTCTGGTAGTTCAGCTAAACAAAGTTTTATGAATACAAAACTTTTTATTTTCATAATTTTTTTCTTTTTATATCATTAAATTTTAATACTAAATATATTAAGATTTTTTTTTTCTTTTATCTGACTAATTAGAAATTAAAAGACAAAAAACAAATACAATAAAATAAATCTTATTTAATACAATGACAAAATTTTCTTAAATGTGAATAACTTTTTTCAATACATGATGCTGATGATTTATATGCATTAATACGACTAATATGATTAAGATCTGTATTAAAATCATTTGATCTATTTGAATATTGTGTTGTTGCTTCATATATAGCCCTATTTGGTTGTGTTTCAAATGTTATTTGATAAAATATTATATCAGTCTTTTTATCATCATATGTTGGTATTCTACCATCAATATCAGACGAACTTGAAAATGTTAATAGAGCTTTATTAGGTTGATAGATTTGTACATTATGAATTGAATAAAATTGAAGTTGTTGACATAAAATATTTTTAACTGATAATAATTGTTTATTTATATAATTAATTATATGATTTGTTGCTTGTTTAACTTTTGTATCATTTATATTAAGATTTGTCCATTGTAAACATGAACACCAATGTGGTTCAAGATTAAGATCATCACAAGTTCGTTGTGCTGGTATTAGATGAAATAAAGATATATTACGTTGTTTCGTATAATTCTTCATTGTATAATGCATTTGATTCATATTAATTAATGATAATAAAGTTGAATGAATATCAAATGGTGTTGTTAAACGATAAATATTTTTCTGTAAAATTTTTATTTCTTTTGAATATTTAATTTGAAATAATTTTGGAAAAATAAAACTCATAAATGGTAAACGTTCTTCAAGTTTACCTTGTGGTGTTTGTCGAACAGCTGAAAAGCGTGCACCATGATCAGTCATAAGTATAATTATAGTTTTTCTATAATCATCTGTTTGATTAAAATTTTTTAAAAATTTTAATAATGATAAATCAAGTATTGAACTAGCTGTATAACCATCATGTGTATATTGTTTAAAAAAAGCAAAGAAAAATTTTTTATTCTCTGAATATGATAACCAAAATTGTTTAATATATGAAAGAAATACATCAAATGATGTTTGATTACGTATACAATGTGCATCATATTTATATAATAAGGATTTTGTTGATTCCATTCGATAAAATGGTAATAAATAATGATCTGTTGGAGTTTTTTCAAAACCTTTTAAACGTAATGTCCATGTACCATATTCAACACGATCTTCAGCATAGCCTGTTACATAACCTTGTTGATGATATTTATTCCAAATAAATGGATATATATCAACAAATGAACTATTATGATCACGATAAAGTGTTGAAGGTAATTCAATTTCTTTGAAACCTGTTAACATTGGAATTAATTGTTGTGGTGTACCATCACCCAATATATTATAACCTTATTTTAAAAAAGAAATTAAATTTTACTTATGAATTACTAGATTATATTTTTTTTTATAGAGGCTAAGAAAAACTTAGTTAAAAAATCATCAATGATCATTGAAATGAGTACTCTGAGAAACATGATCAACAAGTTAGTAAATGAGAAGAAAAAGTTTTTCTGACATACTGTTTGGAAATCTAAAGTGATATCAATATGCTACTATCGGTTTGTAAGTTTTTATTTAGAAAAGCAGAATGTTAGGGTATGAAGATTGTACATCATGTTTATCATTGCATATATTAAATTTTGATCAACTTTATTTGATATATACAGTGAGATTCGAAGTTTTACCTGTCTGATCAAAATCAATAACCCAACTCTATAAAGAAATATAGAAAGTTGTTCAAATTATAGGGATATTTTCACACATAGAATTTTTTGAAAACTGTATCAAATGTACTTATTTCTACAATCTGAGGCTATTTCACCTGTTTCGCAAATTACGATTTTTTACTATTAATGGACATTGTCCTTGACGATATAAGAATAGATGTAAAAACATTCATGATCATTAGAAGTTCAAACAGATCATCAAACTTATTGGCTTGTCTGAGACAAACATAGATTCTCATTTTCGAGTCTATGAAAGGTCAAGTAAGTCACTTAGAATAGATAGACCATTTGTTTGTCATATTTTTATCTATATTTTCAATAAAAAAAAAACTTTTGTTTGAGCAGAAAAAGTTGGTATCAAAATATACAGTGGAGTATTTTTGCGGATGGAAAATAAGAAATAATTTTTTTCACACAGTTTTGACTGTGACATAATCATAGTTAATAATAGATTGTGATTAAAGATATTCTGAACCAAGACTAGCACTTTTTTTGGATAATCTCTCTGGAATTATGTTCCAATTTAACTATAATCTTTATTTCTAATTGTAACTGTATTATTTATTATACATTTATTTATGTAATTTGTTTATCTATTTTGTTGCATTGTTGTTTGTATTATTTAATCGGTTACTATCATGATCTTATATAAATAATTGATTATATTCTTATTGTTCTTTGGTTAACATTTATTTCGTTGTAATATGGCAGAACTTTATAATACCTATTCAACTACTAATTCATTTAATTGATCCAGAATGTTTTTATTGAAAAGAAGAGTTTTTGTTCTATTCTCTATAGATACATATTGTATGAAATCAATAAATATTTGATGTGGTTATATATTTCTATATTCATTATTTTTCCTTGCCTTCAAATAAAGACAGTTTGATACTTTTATTCAATAATCATCATAAGATTAGTATAAAATGTAAAACAACAACACCAGACATAAACCGTGATAAGCAGACTGAAGAGGTTCATCCTTTTTCATGGGTAGACTAGGTTCATGAGAAGTAAGTCTCTTTGGATCTCTAGTGCACATCCATTTCTTCTACAGTTCTTCAAACTTTGCTGCTATTCCGGCCTTTATTATAATAAAATGAAATTTTGCTCATCAATAGACCTCATGATCCTTAGAGAATATTCTATGAATTCCAGCTCAAACGAAACGCTTCTTTTCAAATAATTGAAAATTGAAGAACAGCTAATTTACAATATCTTACGACGAAACCTATTCAACAGATATTCTCCTTTTCAGCTCATAGGTAGGACTCATAGTGTGGATAAGAATTCTGAAAAGGTTCATGCAATTAAGCCTTTCTTCTTGAGTTATAGTCATTTTACTGAATTTTCAGCCTATTGTAGGATATCACGAAGAAAATCACAACAAGAAGTTTCAGCAATAACTCTCATGGTCCTTCCAGTATTATGAAAGTACCCATGTGAAAATTTAAGCAGAAAAGCTCGCTTAAAGTAGCTTAAATTTTTCGCTGAAAAGTTCTGAAAAGCGCACATTTTAAGCAGCCGAAAAGCGCTTCTAAGCACTGGATTTCAAAGAACGGACATTCATAGATGATCCGCTCTGACTGCCATCATAATGCGCCTGTATGTATAGTACTACTAGAATATCATAACTCTCAAAAGATTCTGAGTCTTGTCCATATTTAATTAAGATGATGGCTTCTCATCGAACTCCTGAATTAATAGCTTTTGGAAAGAAACGTATTTTTGAATTTTGTCTTGCAACTTTGTATACGTGAAGGTGTTAATGAGACTATTTCATGTACAAAATTTCATTAATTTTGAATATTGCAATGTCAGTATTTGAATTTCTTAAAATATCTGTACTTTGTACAATACCTGAAAGTGTATATTTTTTGAGAAATTCATATCCTGACATCGCAATATTGAAAATTATATGAAGTGTTGTATATGACATCGTCTCATTGAGACCTTCACGTATACAAAGTTGCAAGTCGAAGTTCAAAAACATGTTCTTTTCAGAAGCTGCTACTTTAAGAGTTCGGTAAGAAGCCATTATCTGAATTAAATATGAACGAGACCTAATCAGACAAAATACAAAAAAAACACGTCGAAAGTTTAACGAAAATAAAATGGCGAAAAAAGCACATTTTTTCGATTTCATTTTCGTTCAAGAAGCTCAACGCGTTTTTAAACGTTTGATTTCTGAACTAAGTAAACTGCTAGAGAAAATAGCTCTATCCATATACTTAGTTTGGATAAAAAATAGTTCAGACGAGTTCTTAGTTATTACAATTTTTTT